CTGTGGTCACGCTTCCAGGTCGTTAAGAGCAACACTAATCCAATTTCATGTTCAGGTTCCTCAAGAAATGCCCTTCCACAGTGTGGGCAGCCGGGAAGTGATATCAGCCCTCATACCCGTAACAGTGCACGAAACCAAGCTGGTCACATTCAAATCCTTCCTACACCTCCTAATACCTCTCTTATTTCCATGACTAACCCTCCTCACGTTTCTTTATCATCTCACACCGGTAGGGCAAACGATTTGAGTACGCGGAACGCTATTCCTGGTCTCCTGAAACCAAGCTCTAAACTACACGTAGGAGCTTTTAACGTTCGAACACTGTGCCAAATAGGACAACAGGCTTCCTTAGCTAAGACTTTAGAATCCCGCGTCATCGATGTGTGCTGCGTCTCCGAAACGCGCATACAGGATCCGAGTAGCGTCATTCATCTGACCTTAACATGCCAAAATAAAGAACCGACTCGACTCACACTTCGTGTATCTGGAAGCACTGATTCTGCTTCCCGTGGCCTCGCTGGCGTAGGTATAGCATTGAGTCCTAGGGTAGAACTAGCTCTCTTAGAGTGGATCCCAGTAGACAGTCGTTTGTGCGCTGTCCGACTAAACGGAACAGTAAGGATCCGAAAACATAGGGACACTCGTCGTTGCCTCTTCGTCGTCTCTGCCTATTCCCCCACTGACTGCAGCGCAGATGATGTAAAAGATGAGTTTTACAGAAAGCTCTCCGACCTTCCCCGAAAAGCAAGGCGCTCAGATGTAGTGATAATGGCCGGTGACTTTAATGCTCAAGTAGGTAAACTAAGCGATAAGGACACCTGGGTGGATCTTATAGCATCATGGCTCAAAGAACTTTATTTATTTATTTATTTGAACACATAAATATAGAGTTCATCGTTTGTGTGTAGGCTGTGATACTGCCCGGGTGTCCAAACCGAAGCAGGTGGTTATCTTAGGGGGCCACACCCCGAGCCTTTGACCTAATGGTCTAACCCACAAGGCAGTGGAGCATCGTAAGGAGATGCAATCCCATGGTAGCCGGTGACCAACGATTGGTTCATACGCCATTTGTTCCCGCAGGATACTGGAGCCCATGTGCACGATTGGTTTGTGATCCGGTTAAAGCGCCGGACATTCGCTTTTCGTCCTCTCATTTTCGTAAACAACACCCCCGCCACGAGAAGGCAATGAGTAGGACTTCCCTGGCAGAGGCTGTTTACGCGCGGCCGTGTGAAAGTATTTCGAGAGGGAGGGCGGACTCTCCCCACTCTCGGCCGTACCAGGGCGTTCGGGGACGGCTCAAAGAACAGATAATGGCGACCGTCTGCTGCAGCTATGCTCGAATAACCGCCTCTTTCTTGCAAATACTAACTTTAAGCATAAGAAGAAAAAACATCTTTTAACATGGAGACCCGCTTATTCGTCCCAGCGTTGGACCCAAATAGATCACATCGCTATCAGCCACCGATGGAGGGGCTCGATAGAAGACTGTTGCTCATTCTGGAGCACATGCTTAGATTCAGATCACGCTCTAGTGCGAGCGCGTATCAGTCTGCGTCTTACTGGACGTAGGAAAGACACTGCAAGGAAACCTCTTAGAGCCCTACTTAATGATAGTCAAGCTAAGAGTATATTTCAGGAAAAACTAGGAAAACAGTTAGGCAGCCATGTATGCGATGCCCACCCCGAGGCAGCATGGAATGATATCCATAAAGCTGTGGAAACAGCAGTGATATCTGCTAGTACGGTAACCCGTAAGGTTAGGGAGCAACACTGGATCTCAGCAGCATCTATCGCACTGATAGATGCTCGGAAACTCATTCCACCTGGCTCTGAACATAATGAAGAGCGGAGTCAGCTTAAGCCCAAGCTGACAAGAAGTCTACGCAATGATCGTGAACAGTGGTGGGTAGCGAGAGCAAGAGAGATGGAAAAGGCAGCGGCAATAGGTAATAGCAGACAATTGTTCAGACTCGTTAAGGAAACCGGAATTAGGAAACCGACTGTTAGCGAAACACTCTAAGAGAAAGATGGACACATTATACACTCTCAATCCAGGAGATTGGATCGATGAGCAGAACACTTCAGGGATCAGTTCAACTGGCCTTCAGACACACTTCGATTTCCCTCGATCTCTAGTCAACCTGAATGGCAAGCTAATGTAGGTCCTCCGGCTCTTTACGAAGTTGAAAAAGCAATAGGAAATCTGAAGCGAGGGAGAGCAGCAGGCCCTGACAAATTTACTCCTGAGATTTTTAAGGATGGTGGTCCAGGATTAGCAGTGAGATTAACTGAGGTCTTAGGTAGAATATGGGAACTAGACGTAATCCCATCTGACTGGTCTCAATCACTGATTGTGCCAGTCTATAAGAAAGAAAAAAAGTCCTCTTGTGACCATCACAGAGGAATCAGTTTGACTAATATAGTGTCTAAAATATTAGCTTCAACAATACTTCGACACCTAACCAAAGCTCGTGAAGAGCAAACTAGAGAAAATCAGGCCGATTTTCGACCTGGACGTGGTTGTATAGACCAAATATTTACACTACGTCAGGTTCTAGAACACAGACACACGTTTAGACGCCCCACAATGGTAGTATTTCTCGACCTTAAGGCGGCATTCGACTCTGTTGATCGTAAGGTTCTATGGCTGTGTTTGTCACTGAAAGGAGTGCCAAACAAGTACATTAACCTTATTCAGGCTCTCTACTCGAACGCAACTGGTAGAGTGAGAGCTTATAGCGAACTGTCATCAGAATTGATTACATCAAGTGGTGTTTGTCGGGGCTGTCCACTCTCCCCATTCTTGTTCAACTTTGTGGTGGACGTACTTTTAGAGATAACACTCTCCTCATCTAAATTTCCAGGGGTTGAACTTCTACCGGGAAGTTCACTTGTTGACTTAGAATATGCTGATGACATAGTTTTATTTGGCGAAGACGCTGACAAAATGCAGTCTTCTGGCCACTGTAAGCAACAATACAAACATGTACGGGATGCAATTCTCTCCCTCGAAATGCAAAGTGTTGCTTCAGGATTAATTTGCATCGACACCCGAACTAATGATAGGGAGTGAAGTAGTTGAGTGTGTCGACCGCTTCACTTATCTTGGAAGTCTCATCAGCCCTTGTGGTCTGGTATGTGACGAAATCTCAGCACGGATACAAAAGGCTCGACTAGCTTTTGCTAACTTGCGTCATTTATGGCGTAGGCGAGATATCCGTCTATCAACCAAAGGACGGGTTTACTGCGCAGCAGTTCGTTCCGTCCTGCATTATGGAAGTGAAACATGGCCGGTAAGAGTAGAGGATATTCGTAGGTTACTGGTATTCGGTTATAGATGTATTTGAAGTATTGCTCGTATATTCTGGGACCACCGAGTAACTAATGCAGTTGTAAGGAAACGGGTACTAGGTAAGGATGGCAAATCAATTGATGAAGTGATGAAACTTCATCAGTTGAGGTGGCTGGAAGATGTTACGTACGCCCATTCACCGACTGCCCCAACGAGTGATATCTTGTGGTGTAGGAGTAGGTTGGAAGAAAGCTAGAGGCGGCCAGACCAGAACATGGCACAAGTCCATGAAGTCACTGACAAGTGGACTGAGCCATGCTGGTAGGTGTAGAACTATCTGGTTGGGGTCCGCGAGACGATAGCAACAGATGTTTAGAGACCTTGAATGACATGGATCGAAATCGCTTGCGGTGAGTCAGATGCGTCCACTCTTTGTGTTCTCCCAAATTGTGATCTTCTGAATTCTTCATGTCCCTTTTTTCTCTTTCCAAATTTATTTCACTGAATTATACTCTTTAAATAACATCCTCACACCCTAATCTTCCCGATCACTGCTTACACTCTTGCTACCTCTACCACTACGGGATTTGGATCGACAACTGCATCTCTGTGTTAAGGTGGTGTGACAACTCAAACTGATGTACGTACGTACGAAGTTCTACGTTGTTACTGACTGACTGACTGTAAAGCGTCAGTTCTCCATCTCGAAATGCTCTCAAGTGGCCACGTCCATACAACCAGTCAGGGAAGTCCTACTCACTGCCTTCCCGTGGTGGGGGTGCTGTTTACCAAATTGAGAGGATGAAAACCGAATGTCCGGCGCTTTAACCGGGTTTGGTGGATAAGGACGGTCCACCTAGGGTAGTTGGAAGACCCCGATTCCAATGGTGCACATGAGCTCCAGAATCCTGAGGGAACAATTGGCATACGAACCAATCATTGGTCACCGGCTACTATGTGACTGCATCTGCTGACGTTGCTCCACTGCCTTGTGGATTATGCCTTTAGGTCGAAGGCTCTAGGTGTGGCTTCCTAAGAAAACCACCTGCTTCTGTTTGGGCAACCGTGCAGTATTCCAGCCCTCACACAAATCGAATAATTTATGTGGCGCATATGTTGTTGGTGCCCCTTTGTACCAATATTTGTGTTCAAATAAATAAAATGAAGTATAACAATAACTTATAACCCCAAGTGATCATTATAAAAGACTCCTGGTGGAAACCTACCAGTCTGAATGATACTCTTTCCACTGTTTTGGAGTGTTTAGAAGCCCTAATCCTTGCCCACAGTCGGAAAAACAGATTTCGACCTTCTTACCAAACCTCCATTTAGTACGATAAAGCCATATAGTTAGTAATAGCCAGTTTCAGATACCATCCCGGTTACTTAGTCTGAAAACGAACGCTTATTTAAACGCATAAATACTGAGACGAGGAGGTGCCAAATATATATACGCCACACATTCGGTTGGTGTGAGGGCTGCAATACTGCACAGGCGCACAAACCGAAGCATGATGGTACATCTTTCCACAATAGTTTGACTAGCACTTAACTATGTGGTTCACGACCAACAGAAAAACTGGGAAATGGATGTACAGAACCAAAAATCGATGACAGAATCAGTAATCATAAAAAATCTAAAAAACCACTTGAATTTGAAAGCCTCCAAGAATATGACGAACAAGTTTAAAAAACATAAACATACCTTTTTCAGCAGCTAGTTCCAACTCAAATTCATCAAACTCCATCTCCGGGATTTCGAACTCGGAACAGGCGGAATGAACAGGCATATTATCATCGTATTTGCTGTTCCGCCTTGACGACTCGCCTACACTAGACGCCGTCTCTGCATCATTTAAAGCATTCCACGGTGCCTTTTGGGTGGTAAGGCCGTCGTCTGAAAAAATATTAGACTTTCTAACTGTATTATGACTATCAGTAGGAACGTTTCGTTTGTTCTCTGGGTGTAACACACCTTCGCAAACAGTACTCGTCACTGCTGGGTCCGACTCCATTTCATGCAACCTACAAATCGTTTAAAAACGAGAAAACTGATCATGAACATAAGAACAATGTAAAAAGTGAAATCATTTGTGATAAAATTTTATTAAAGACTTTTACAAACAGGAATCTAAACGACGTTTGGCAGCAATTAGTCGGTCAAAAGTCTGGTAGAGGTCAATTGCTTTATCGTAAGTGCATCCTTCATACGGTAATCCTGCGGAAATATGTGATAGGTAATTGATGTGTGAATTCATTTCCATCTCTACTTCCTTAACAACTGTCCGAAAGTTATGTGTGCAACTTTCGACTTGTTTTACCGTTGGTTTATCTTTTGAAAGTTCTTCGAGAGCACTACCAGCGTGCTGAATAATTAGGCTTATCTTTCGCTCAACTTCATCAAGCTTGTTAAGGCGTGATTCAAGGGAAGCCTCGGCTTGACTATCTTTAGAAGTGCCTAACATAACTCAAGCAACCTTGTGGTTTAAACAGACCGGGGTCGTCAGGTTATTACAAACGAATATGGAAGGCCCATTAGAAGAATCCATATACCATATATATCCAATATCTTTGTCACGAGCTTTTATGGATTGAACGAATTTTCAGGTTTTTCCCTTATTGTCTTGGTACGGTTTCAGGTCTTTAGTAATCCCCAATAGGTTCAAATTGTTATGGACGGAATAGAAGAAGCTTTCACTTAACAGGATTCCGTGTCTAGTAGCAGGGGATAACGAATAACTCCAGGCAGGAACCTAGGTATGTTAACGATAAAAGAAGAAAAAGAAATCGGTAAATCATAGTATGATACTATCCTTAGACCTTAAGAATAGATCAAGTTGCCTCATAAACGACTCATGGGAAGTCGCTTGGACTAGTTGGGCCAGCAGCGAATTCCAGCATTTGACAACTCTTGAGGAGTAGAAGTTGTGCCTACAGTCCGTTTTGTTATGTTGTGTTTCCGATTTCTGGGTGTTACTCCTTAGGTTGGTATTGAGACTAAGCTTGAATAGGTATTTAAAAGGATGTCCAAAAGTGTTAAGTATACTTTAAGCCATCAGAAAGTCACCTCCAAGACGACTATAATTTAATGGGCAAAATTTAAGTGATTGGAAGTGCTCTTCATAAGGTTTAAATTTGAGTCCTTGACCTGATTTCATGGCTCGCGGTTGGATACGCTCCAGAGTGTCCTCACCGTTTTGAAGTGAGGGAGGAAATACTGTTTCCGTACTCTGAATGGGGACGGATAAAACTGTTGAAAAGTTGGAAAGTCCTTCCGCCAAACTGGCAGAAAATGCGCGTCACTGTTACCAGTGCAAGGTTTGCTCGAAAGGCATTTTTGTCACAGTTAGCTTAAGACTTTAAATTGTAGGGCACCAGGACTTTTAAATCTTTGAAGTGTTAAAGGTAAGTCCCTTATAGTTTGCCCAACTTTGAAGTCGAGTCAGATACTCCTGAAAGGCCTATATATCCTTCCGGTTGCGTATATCTCTCCAAAGTTGCACGTCATCGTCAAAAAGTGGTAAGTCTGACGTGACATGTTGAGGAAAGTCGTTTATAGAATTCAAGAAGAGAAGAGGTCCTAGTACTGAGCCCTGGAAGACTCCACTAGGACATTCCATAGCCTGAGTGAAGTTAACCCTAACCTTAAAATGTCAAGTTTTCAGAAACGAAGTGAGCCAATCAGTTAGATGTGACTTGATACACAATCTTTTGAGCTTATTGATAAGACATATATGGCTAACCGTATCAAAAGCTTTTGAGAAATCAAGGTAAATGATATCAACCTTCCTATTGCGATCGAGGATGCTTGTCCATCTGTCCATCGCAGTCAGCAGGTTGGTTAAACAAGAGTAACCCTTCCTGAAACCCTGCTGTTGAGGTGATAAGAAATTTAAGGATAGTAAATAGTCATGTATGCCATCGGATATCAGGGATTCCATGATTTTTGAAGGTATTGAGAGAAGAGCCACCGGTCGGTAACTTGAACTTTCGCTGCGTTGACCTCCTTTGAAAATTGGTGTGACGTAAGCCGGCTTCTAATTTTCCGGTAGTTTGCCTCGGCTTAGCGAGTGTGAGAACATCACGCTAAGCGGCGTTGCCAGGATTGAAACTGCTTATCTCAGTATAGCAGAATGGACCATATCTAGGCCAGGAGAAATGTCTTTTCTTAGGTGCTTCAGTTTCCCGAACACCAAGTCAACGCTCAGGTTCTTTACAGAAAGTCTTATGCAGTTGCAAATGAAGCTATCATCAGTATAGTTGAGGTGGATCGGTTGAAATGTCCAAAAGTATTGTTCAGCCAAAAGGTTAGCGGCGTCTTATAAAGTATCAAAATAATTAATTAACCTACCACAGTGAAGATTGTAAGTTCTGTAACAATCTGATCGTCCCTGGAAAACTGGCATGCCTCATGTAACAGACTGTTATTTGTCAATAAATCATTAATATTATTATTAGTCTCTAATTATATATACATTCCTTCAAATCACGTCCAGGACATTTAAATACATATATAGTCTCTCCTGATGTCTATAGCTCCTTTGAAAAGTCCAAATCTGTCGCTTAAGAAAGTGGCGATAAGCTATATAAACACAGTGATCAGTTCCCATCGTACTCTGACCTTTCTACAGCTACACTAGACACGCACTATTTACTTGGGCATGACGACTCCCTACCCTGCGTCCGGCTTATAGGTTTATAATCAACCGCAATTCGTTCAAATCGACAGCGTGTAGTGCAATCAAAGGTGTCACTTGTTGTGAGCAGTTTTTAGAAAGTGTGGTTGTACCCAACCATTTAACAAACCCACGACCGGACACTCTATAGTGCCTCACAGATTGCTAGTACGTCTGTCTATCACAAACAACCCAGCGACGTAGATCTCGACTACTCACCCAGACATATACTCTATTCGTCAACTAAGTATGAACAAGGTGACCACACGGTAGACACTTGCAACATGTCTACAACCATATCAACCATGACAATTTTGATATAAACTCCAATAATCTCACCAGTTGTAGTTCTAAGAGCAGCGAAATACAACTTGGCCTCACCCGAAGTATTCAGGACTGATTACCGTGCAAATATTTGATCAGTGTTTCAGAAAATCTTGGTCCTGGAATTATAAAAAAAACAGAGGAAGTAATTGACCATATATCGTCTGAAGTGTTGAAAAGACTACAGTGTATGCGGCTGCAATTAAACGCAATTCAATTTCGTAAATGTGCTTTTCAGCTTAGCAACCAATCAGAATGTGGCGGGAATTATTATATCAGCCATCTTTGTACGTAATGGCGGCCGGCTATCTTCGTTCTGTGCTTCTTTTAGCTATTTCTTTTGTGTAGCTATGTAATTAATGCTTCAATGTGCTAAGATGCCGCAGTTAGTGTAATGTTCTACATGTTGGTGTGAAATTTACTTCGAATTAGCATTGTTTTTGCTGCTTCTACTCTAGTCAATATATTTCTTCATTCAAGCTGGTTAGTCTTATGTTCTAAAATGGAAATCGGTTTTGTTTTTACTTGTTTTCTAGATATCCAAAGCCGAAGTTCGTTTTTTCTAAGCTGAAATAACTGTTGCCGCCTCCTGTGACTAACTGTCTGCATGTTCATTCCTAACTGTCCTTTATGATGTTATCGGCAAAATGAAAGGAAACAATTTCCGGTTTTTAATTTTCTTCAGTATTGCGGAACACAATATCCCACCAACGAGTCAAACTAATACTTAGTGCCTAGCAGTAGGGGATGTCAGTATTGTTTTCGAAAGTACCCAGGCTTCCGACAACCACAGATGCTACCAATCTATTACAGAGGGTTTGTTATGAAAAAATATGCCACATAGCAGTAATGGAGGGGTTGTACGCATTACGTAGTGCGTTAAAGCAAGCTTAACATTGAAAAGCCGGAAATCTGCTATCAGTGTGTAGTGTATGTTTTGGCCACAAAAGGAAGCCGAAGGGCCATGATCAGGGAGTAAAAAGGTAACTAACTGTCATTAAGCTCAGCTTTTTATAGACCATAATTCACCACTCGCAAATTTGTGTTTTTCTACAGTATGACGTCAACCGTTATCTAATATGTTCACCTTTACGATGAAAAGTACCTGCAAATTCTCACCTTCATATTCGAATTATTTTGGGACAACCGTCTTCCAGATTGAGTGCTTCGTACGCCCTGGGAGACTAGATTCCTACATTATTCACAGTTCCAGTATAACTTTCTCACACAGTAAGTTCAAAGTAAACACTAGTCTTCCTAAATAAGCATGTTAAGCTAATATCCGTATTCTCTATTTCAGTTGCTCGGTGAAGACATGTACCACGTGCATCTGTTGTATATTGTTATTTTACTCCAATTCTAACTGCTATATCTTCTGAAAAATAAAATTGCTATATGCTGCAAATACAGACTTATTGTTTTGATGGTGGTGGTGGGGTTCGTGGGTTTTTTAGCAGGACTGTAGTAATATTCTCACTAAAGAGCTAAGTGAGTGCGTAGACCAATGTAAAGTACCATACAGGGTGCCTCTGAATTACTCGTGTTCCATTAGTGTCGGTAGAAGCATTACTGGCTTATCATATGACATTTAGATAAGAAGCTATGAGACTAGACGCAGGGACGGTTAGGATGAGTAACGCGTGTCCATCCATCAGTTTTTGTGGCAACTCATGGTGGCTAGAATAAGTTGTGAGAAGACCCGAGCCTGTAGGTTTCCCAAGAAAGTGACGGAGATATGCACCAAATCACCTTATGAAGAGCGCCTCCAATCACTTAACCTCTACTCATTAAAGTATAGACGTCTTAGAGGTGACGTATTTACTTACAGGATCCTTAACGCTTCTGGGCATTCTCTTAAACACCTATTTGAGCTTAGTCCCGAAAACTAGAGACACGACATAGCAGAATGGACTGTAGACGCGACTTCTACTCCTTAAGAGTTGTCGGATGCTGGGATTCGCTGCCCGCCGAACTAGTCCAAGCGACTTCCCAGGAGTCCTTTGGGAGACGACTGG